TTTCATAGGTTCTAGTGCATATGTTGATGTGATATGTGCAATTGGAGCTGGAGCTGCAGACTGTTTCTTAATTCTTCTGTCTTTCTGTTTCACTATACTTTTTATCTGTATTGCCCTTCTTTTATGGTTTCCAGTGCTCTTCCTCTGTTCTGAATATTATATTTCTTTTGCTACCCTGCCTTTTATTCATTAAATCAAGTAAAGACAGCTTTTACTCTACTATCTTTCCTCACCTCTAAAATTTTACCTAATTTTCTGGTAAGTCCTCTCCTCCAAAAATACACACTAAACTAATCTTCAAAAGAGTGCCAAGCTCCAGGCGCTGGTGGCTCACGCCTGTAATCCTAGCTACTCAGGAGGCTGAGATCTGAGGATCGTGGTTCAAAGCCAGCCCGGGCAGGAAAGACCGTGAGACTCCTATCTCCAATAAACCACCAGAAAACCGGAAGTGGCGCTGTAGCTCAAGTGGTAGAGCGCTTGCCTTGAGCTGAAGAGCTGAGGGACAGCGCCCAGGCCCAGAGTTCAAGCCCCACGACCAACAAAAAAAAAAAGAGTGCCAAGAATACACAATAAGGAAATAATAACAAGCCAATAAAGTGGTATTGGGAAAGCTGTGCTAATTTAGTGATAGCCTTCATTCCCTCCAGCCTCATCACTGGAAATTGTAAATCTCTAGATAAATAAGTCTCTAGGGTCTCTTTAATGCTGACATTGTGTTTCCAAATATGAATGGTTGTTGTCAGAGTGACTACTCAGAAATATCAAGATGTGGATGAATTGATACAACGATGTGATCAGAAAAGGACTCAAACTAAGAATAAAGCATTGCTCACCCATAGTTCTTTGACAATTTCAAACTTAGGCAAGAGGCTTTGTCACTTTGAAAAGAATGAGTTAGGCATGGGAACTAATATAAATCAAATAAATAGTTTCACAGAGAAAAACTATTGTTAAAAGCCAAATACTGCTGGATATTGTAGCCCATGCTTGGAGCCCTAGCACTCAGAAGGTTTAGGTAGGGAGACAGTGAGTTTGAGGTCATCCTGGGATACATAGAATGTGTTGAGGCCAGTTCAGGTCTCTTCCTAGAGAAGACAATACATAGAATGCAACAACAAAATATAATGTGTGTGTGTGTGTGTGTGTGTGTGTGTGTGTGTGTGTGCCTGTGTGTGTGTAAGTCATCTGTCTTAAATTGAAGAGTCAGTGACATTGAACATTGAAGGTAGAATATTTGCTATTATCCATCAGGGAAGTGATTAGGAAAGTGCTGAAAAAGAACAAAAAAAGCTTATATAAATCATGTGATACCATCATGAGACCTAATCAATATACAGTCAATAAAATGTTTTTTTAAAACATAGCCAGAAAATATGTTAAAGAAATAATAGGTGAAATTTCCCTAATCTGAAGAAACAGAAAACATCAGGATTCCAAATGCAAAAATTCCAATAAAATTCAACATAAAGAGGAGCTCACAACACATAATGATCAAACTATCAACAAGGACATATAAGAGAAAATGCAAAGAGTAACAAGAGAAAAGAATTTCACATACAATGGAATCCTATTTGACTTCCAGTAGACTTCTCAGCAGCTATCATGCAGGTCAAGAGAGAATGAGATGTTATATTCAAAGTTCTGAAGTGTGTGGGGGCAGGGGGAACCTGCTAACCAAGAACACTGTACTCATTATAGCTAACATTGAAAACTGATGTAAAAAATAACAACTTTTCATCCAAATAAAGCTACTGCAGTCGATAAGTCTTTATCTGTTTTATGGGGAATCCTAAAGGGAAAATCCTTGAACTAAAATATTGTTATTACTAATAGCAAAAAAAACTTCCAAAAACCCAAAACCCAGTGGTGATACAGATCAACTCAACTCAGGGAATAGTCTAGGAATGAAATTAATATGTTAAGTAAAAGTAATAGCCTCCTATAAAGGTTAAGTGACAAAATTATTAATACTAGCTGTAGCTAAATTAAGTTGTCAAGGGATACATATTACAAAATAATACAAATTCAAGAATCAAAAACATACAATGCTGGGAAGAAAATATAGAGTTGAATATGGAAATTTTTAAGTTGTGATCAACTTGAAATTCAACTATTAATGGCTTAAGGTGTATGTACATAAGACTCATGGTAAGTAAAATGCACTAAACAAAAAAATTAAAAATCAAAATCTACCACTAAAGAAAAACATCAAACCCCAAAAAAGACAGTAAGAGATGGAGAAACAAATTATCTATTTTTAAATGCAGAAAACAATCAACAAAATGACTGTAGGGCATAAAACAATACAATAAAGCATAAAATATTGCAGGTTTAGATTGCCAAACAGTATAATAAAGCATAACATAACTTTTCTTCCCTAGTGCATGTAAGAGTTATGTTTACACAGCTATAGACTACTAAGTATAATAGCATAATACCTTTTTAAAGTGCATACTTAAAAATGCTTTATCACTACAAAATACACATGGTAATCAGAACTTTTGGTGAGTAATGATCTTTCTGCTGGTACAAGGTCTTGTCTCTCCTTGATGATAACTGAGACTGATCAGAATAGTTGTTTCTGAAGAGTGTGTAGAGTGTAGCAGTTTCTGAAAATGAGACATTGATTCTTTCACAAATGATTTTTCTGTACTATATAATGCTTTTTTGTTTGTGGTGGTGGTCATGGGGCTTGAACTCAGGGCTGGGCACTGTCCTTGAGTTCTTTTGCTCAAGGCTAGCACTCTACTACTTTGAGCCACAGCCACCACTTCCAGTTTTTTGAATGGTTAATTAGAGATAAGAGTCTCACAGTAAGAGATAAGAGTCTGCCCAGGCTGCTTCAAACCATGATTCTCAACCCTCAACTTACAGGCATGAGCCACTAGCACCTGGCATGTGATACTTTTGATAGCGTTTTAGCCACAGTACATCTTCTTTCAGAATTGGCATTGATCCTCTGAAATTATGATGTGACTTCTTCAACTAAATTTATGTGATATTCCTGCTGTTATATCAACAATATATACCATATCTTTACTAAGTAAATGGATCCATTTCTAGAAAGTACTTTCCTTATTCATAAAAACAATTTCTCATTCTATTATATTTTTATCATGAGATTTCAGCAATTCAGTCACATCTACAGATTCCACTTTTAATTTTATTTTTCTTGCTACTTATACCATATCTGAAGTTACTCCTCCACACTTGGGAGCTACTTGGGAGACTGAGGCAGGTGGACTAAATCTTCCTCTCACCAGCTTAGTAAGATCTTGTTCCTAAACAAAAACTTTTTTTAAAGGCTGACAATATAACTCAGTGTTAGTGTTTGACTAGCATGCACAAATTCCAGTATTGCCTATCTGATTATATAAAATAATATTTACCAAAATGAACTCCAAGAAATGGAAACAAGAATTTTTTTCTTTGTTGTTTTTGTTTTCTTTTCTTTTTATCTTGTTTATACACTTATCTGTCTTTGGGAGGTTTGGAGGTGGCACAGAAATAGTGGAACAAAGGGTGAACAAATGCAGCTGTGGTACTCGCTAGGCACTAGGCTGAAAATGAACTATTCAGCTTCTCGGTGGGAATGGGCGGGAAAAACTGGAAGAGAGAGAAAGAGTGACATTGTTCAAAATGAATGTATTCTTTATCTGACTTATATAACTGTAATCCCTTTGTACATCATCTTTATAATAACAATTAAAATGCACAAAGAAAAAAACAAATTCCAGTATTGCAAACAAAAAGGAATATCTGAGGATCACAATCACAGTAAAGCAAAATGTAATAAAAGGAAGTGTATACTTACACATCAATAATTAACTTGAATCCAAATGGATTAAAATCTCCAATTTAAAAAATGAATGCCTTGACTAGATTTTCAGGAACATAGCCAAAAGATATGCTGTCTGTAAGAGACTTGCTTTGCTCTTAAGGATACACAGAGACTTCAACTGAAAAGATGAGAATTACATTCCATACTAATGGAAATCAAACGACAGCAGGGGTTATTATACTTTTCAGACAAAACAGGCTTTCATGGGCTTTCAAAACCATGAATCAGGTACTGGTGGTTCATGACTGTAATTCTACCAACTAAGGAAACTGAGACCTGGAGGACTGTGGTTTGAAAAAAGCCTAGGCAAAAGACTCTCTATTTACAATTAACCAGCAAAAGTTTGGAATAGAAGTGTGGGTCAAGTATGAAAGGAAGGGAGGAAGGAAGGAAGGAAGGGAGAGAGGGAGGCAGGGAGGGAGGGAGGGAGGGAGGAAGGAAGGAAGGAAGGAAGGAAGGAGGGAGGGAGGGAGGGAGGGAAGGAAGGCAGGAAGGCAGGCAGGCAGGCAGGCAGACAAGAGGGAGGGAGGGAGGGAAACAGGGAGGAAGGAAGGACCCTTTCCAGTATCTCCATAAGCTTCCCTTGGTTCCAGTACCTTTAGATATCTACCTTACACAATGAATAGGTCCTTAGCCCCACTCAGTCACTACTAGGCATAAAATGTACATAAAGGAAAAATATATATACAAAAGATGTTTTTATTCCTAAGGTCTGCATTTTTGCTGTAATTTAACACCTCCTGCTTTTCTACCTTGGAATGCTACATGTAGGGAGTCCCGGAATTTTCTTCAGGAAATAAAAAGGGGGAAACGGAGGCTGAAAACCCAAAACTGTTTCTGGAAGTGCTGCTGGCAGCCCTGACTGTTTGGGTTTCCAGATCCCAGATCCCAGGGAGCTGGGATCCTCATGCATTCCCCTGCCAGTAGAGGATCTGAGCTGAAGGGGAGAGTGATCAAGAGTTAAGCCCAAATGGGTTTGCACCCAGGATCCCAGATCCCTTGCTTTTTATAAATTACTTCATCTCTGAAAGTCTCCATATCTTCCCCCTGTGACACCATGACACACAGCAAGGTGGCCCTGAGGATGAAGTGACCATAACACAGTCAGCACTCCAATCTTCTTTGTGTCCCCAGGCCCCGCAGTGAAATGTTTCTGATCATGAACACAACCAGCCCCTCCTCCTTGGGGACGGAGCCCACGCCCTTGAACCACACAGAAGGAAACGTGCCTGGAAGCTTCAACAGCAAGATCCTCATCCCCAACGTGGTGATCATCCTCTCCGCCCTGGTGGGGTTGGCAGGAAACAGTGTGGTGCTCTGGCTGCTGGGCTTCCGCATGCGCAGGAACGCCTTCTCCATCTACATCCTCAACCTCGCCGCAGCCGACTTGCTCTTCCTCTGCTGCCACATGATCGATTCCACGCTGGTCCTCGTCAAATTCTCCTATCCCGACATCGTCTTCCTCCCCTGCTTCACGACCATCAAGATGTTCCCCTACCTCGCAGGTCTGAGCATGCTCAGCGCCATCAGCACCGAGCGCTGCCTGTCCGTCCTGTGCCCCATCTGGTACCGCTGCCGACGCCCCAAGCACACCTCCACCGTCATGTGCGCCCTGCTCTGGGTCACATCTCTGCTCTTCAGCATCCTGAACAGGTACTACTGCGGCTTCTTGGATAAGAAGTATGACAATGAACAGTGTCTGGTGTCTAACTTTTGCACGGCTGCGTGCCTGCTGTTCTTATTTGTGGTTCTGTCTGGGTCCAGTGGGGCCCTGCTGGCCAAAGTCCTGTGCGGTGCTGGGAAGATAAAGTTGACCAGGCTGTACGTGACCATCCTGCTCACCGTGCTGGTCTTCCTCATCTGTGGCCTGCCCTTCGGCATCCACTGGTTCCTGTTAATATGGATTCAGATTGACTTCAGCGCCATCTCCTATGGCCTCTATCTGAGCTCCGTGGTCCTCTCCTCCGTGAACAGCTGTGCCAACCCCATCATCTACTTCTTCGTGGGCTCTTTCAGGCAGCAGCTGAAGAAGCAGACGCTCAAGCTGCTCCTCCAGAGGGCCCTGCAGGACACGCCCGAGGGTGAAGCAGGTGGAAGCAGCCTTCCTCAGGGCACCTTGGAGATGTCCATAAGCAAAGAGGAGCAGTGAGGGAAGGCCTCTCTGCCGGCCCGTCCCTGGTGACTTTGGCAGTGAACCACTGGGACACTGGTTGGCTCTTCTCTCAGCCTCAAAAAAGGAGGAAAATCGAAAGGGCTGTTTGAACCTGGCCTTCCTAGTTTTCCTCAGGAAAAGTATTAGTCTTTAAGTAGACTATCTCCAGCCCTTCTCAACGCGACTGATAAACTTCTTCCCAGTCTTCCTTATTAAATGCTAGTTCTTTGCCATTTTCTTGCAATGCCAAGAATCTGTGAAAACAAAAAACAAAAAATCCACAACTCTTGTTTGTGATTGTTTCCTACTGGATAGTACAGAAAGAGAAGATGGTTCACATGGAACCAGATGGTTTGGATGAAATATCTTCATGAGACTAACCAATGAGCAAAAGCATCAGGTACAGAGTTCTAGTCCTGGTCCAAGGAAGAAGGAAGGAAGGAAGGAAGGAAGGAAGGAAGGAAGGAAGGAAGGAAGGAAGGAAGGGAGGGAGGGAGGGAGAGAGGGAGGGAGGGAGGGAAAAGAAAGAGAGGGAGGGAGAGAAAGGGAAAGGAAAAGGAAAGGGAAAGGAAAGAAAGGAAAGGAAAAGAAAGGAAAGGAAAGGAAAGGAAAGGAAAAAAGATGATGTGACTAGAGTGCAGAGAGCAATCAAGATTGAGCAATGAGATCAGTTTGTCTACCTTGGCCTTGAAGTGACCCGAATTGGCATAAGTTTTGCAAAATTAGTTGGAGTCTAACCCAAAATAGCACCAGAGAAAGCTAGCCAGTTCAGCCTAGGACAAGCCAAAAGGCAATCTCTTGCTCTCCTCCCCAGGGTTATGTCCAAACCTACTGGATCAGAAACCATGGATAAACTCAACAGAGAAATAAAGGAGATAAGGGGAGAAAGAAAAGCAGTGGACAACACCCACTTCTCTAGTGCAATCCTTTTGCTTCCAAAATAATCCAGTGTCAATGACTCACACCTGCCATCAGGAGGATCACAATTCAAGGCCAGACTCGACAATAAAAGTTCACAACATCTCAATAGAAAAAGCTTGTCACGATGGAATATGCCTGTCATCCTAGCTATAGGTGGGAAGTAAATAAGAGGATCACATTCTAGGCTAGCCTAGGCAAAAATCTAAGACCCTACCTCAAAATTAAGTTGAGCAAAAAGGGTAGAGGTCTACCTCCAGCATACAGTGCTTGCCGAGCAAATGTGATGCCCTGAGTTCAACTCCAGTACTGGTGGAGGAACAAACTCCAGTTGAGAGCAGGGAGATAGTTTATTTTCCAATTAAATAACATGTTATTACTTACCCACATAATAATTCAGCTCCGCTGATGGCTTATGAGTGATTGGATGTTAAAACAAGAGTTTAATCTGAATGTCAATGCAGAAGGCTAGAGAAGTAGCCCCCAGGCAGAGTGCTCACCCTGCACTGCAAAACAAAAAGTAAAACTAAAACAAACAAAAAGCTAGTATAGATACTGCACCCACACAGGTGGAGATAACATGGAGAGTTCAAATAATAAAGTTTGTGACAACTTGTTATCAGCTCAAAACTCATATGTTTTAGCAGGAATCTAAACTGATAAAAAGCATTGTGATTTATAAGATGATTTCTTTGTTGCTTTGTATGTTCCTCCCCCACAGTATAACCCCTGCTTTCACTGTATTTGATATCGGTATAATTTGTGGAGGGGAAGGGGGAAAACAAATCATTTAAATAGGGATACAGGTGGACCCATTGCAACAATGAGATGTACAAGTCGTTATGTCAAAAACGAACTTTACAACTTTGGGGGGGGGAGAGCGGGGGGGGGGGGGGGGACGATGGGAAGGGATGGGAAGGGGAAACAAAGGAGGAGGCTACAATGCTTGATAAGAAATGTACTCACTATCTTGCCCATGTAATTGTAACCCCTCTGTATAGTATTTTCACAATAAAAAAATAAATAAATAAAAAGTAAAAATAAAAATAAAGCATTGTGAGAAAAATTGGCAATTCCACAGCATGCCAAGCATAGAGCTACAATGTGACTCAGAAATTCTACCATTAAGCATATACCTAAGAGAAACAAAAATATAAGCCAGGCATGGCAGCATATGCTTATAATCCCAGATACTCTGAGGGAGAATGAAGGATCATGAGTTTGAGAATAGCCTGGGCAAACATTAGTGAGACATTGTCTCAGAAACAAAAGCATTGGGGGTATAGTTCATTGATAGAATGCTTGCCTGGCAAGGAGAAGGTCCTGGATTCAACGCAAAGCAATGCAAAAAGAAAAAGTATATATGTATGTACAGATGTATACATACTTATATGTGTGTAGATACCCATATTTACAACCACATTTACAATAGCCAAAAAGTAGAAACAGTATAAATATACACCAGTTAATGAATGCTAAACAAAATGTGTACATCCATATAATGTACTTTCATTTGGCAATAAAAATACAGAAATACTAATACAGGCTGTGACCTAGATAAACCCTGAAAACATTTCACTCAGGGAGAGAAATCAGATATGATTTTTATAAGTGCATTATTTACTTCCATCTATGGTAAAATGGTCAGAATAGACCAATCAAGTCTCTGGGCCGAGATAGAGTAAGTGAGAAATAGGAGTGGAGGGCTGATTACTAAAGATAGTGGGTTTCTCTTGGGTGTGAGGTTTTCTAAAATTAGATTGTAGTCATTTGCACCACTCTGAATACACTAAAAACTACTGCAATGTACACTCATGACCACTGGAGGGCATCCACTGCAAAAGAAGTGTGAAACAACCAAACTGGATAGGATCCGGTAGATACATAGTGTCAGCCTGTATCCTTGGCAGCCTTATTGCGGATACAGTGAGATCACAGATCAAACAGCCATGGTGGCAAAAAATGAAAGTTATGTGTAAGTCATACATGCCACACACACACACACACACACACACACATTTGGAAGCCATTAATTTGTATTGGATGGTTTAAATGTGTGATGTATTCCCATATGAAACTGTACGACATGCAAAAATGAAATTTCCTGGTCTCTCCCAATAGTCACAGCCTATAATTTAGTTAATTATTCATTACAAATCAATATATCTTTGTTGGAAAAAAGAGAGAAACTAATTTTGAATTCATCACAAGATGATTCATTACAGAGACTTTAACGTGACTGGTTCAGAAATTTTGGCATAACATTTCTAAGCAGCGTATGTGTTTGGTTGACTATATTTTATGAACTAGTCATGATTCTCTTTAGTGGTGTAAGCAATACATAGTTACTTGGTTAGTTCAGATAGATTGTTACACTCTGACAACCAGCATTGACATGTGTGGCTTACCAATGAAAATCCACCTGCCTTCCAAGTTCAGCTGCAATAGTGCAGGCAGCTTCCTTCCCGCGGCCTCTCCATCTCAACACAGGCATAGAGTTCACTATTGCTAGAGCACCTGATGCTGGAAATTAAGTGCTGTGACCCTGAGGTAACTCTAGCCATTTCCATTTACCACATGGGCCATGCCCCACAACAGGATTAGTCATATGATCCCACAAGAAGAAAAAGCCACTGAAGGCTAATTCTGTTGTGTATCCAGAATGAAAGGCTAACTGCATAATAGGGAGACTAGGAATGAACATGAGTTAGTACATAAAATATGAAAGACATGAAATTGGGAAACATTTTTATATATACACAGGGCATTATGTGTGTATATCTAAACACGTATATGCTCATGTACATATAAACAGAATTACTGCTATTGGATTTGGTTTTTTTTCCTCTGAATCACTGAAAACACAAACTATTTGGAATGACCTTCTTTATTTTTATTTTACAAGTTTGCATGCTCACTGTAGAATTCATATCAAAGAAAACTTAAGGTGGTTGCAATGTAACTTCTGAAAAATAACCCACATGATCTTAAGCAAAGTTTAAATGTACTATCCATATTTATTTATTTTGTGCTTGTTCTTTCTTTAAGAATATATATCTCATCCCAACAGATACTTATTGCAATTTAAGGGGGGAATTTTTCTCAGAATTCAGTTGTTTTGACTCTATAAGAGACTCTATTAGAGATTGCCTCTAATATGACCTCCAGCATTTGTCATCTGTAACTATACAACTCTGAAGCCTGTGCATGTTTCTCTTTCTCCCTCACTCGTTCCTCCTTCCCTTCCTCCTTGCCTCCATTTTCCTTTCTCCCATGCTACACCTGGAACCAGCCTCTCTCAGTCTACTTTCAGGACCCAGAACAGCTCCCAACCTTAAGCCTGATGTTTGTCAAGGTGATGATGTCCAGAGGCTTTAACACTTTCTCTGTGATGGGCATATATCACTGGAATCTACCAAAGCCCTAAGAACCTATCAAAATCATGACAACTTTGTTTTGCCAAATTAGAGAACTGTTAACGGGAATAGTTAAGTCTTAAAATCTCTAGTTAGAAACCAACACAGGAGGTTGCCTCCCACCAGTATTACAAAACTCCATTGTAAGACTTTTTTTGCTCAACACTACAGAGCCTGTTACTTAGGATGGTTTCTGGAACACAGTAGGCACTCAGTGAATATTTTTCATTGGAATACTGAGTCTAACCTTGCACGCTTCCTTTATATCACTCTTAAGAAGGACTTAGCCACCATCTGCTTCTATATGTCTATAAAATAGAGTGGATTATACTGAACTACTTCCGTTCATTACTTCACTGAAAGACAGGTGTGTCTGGAGGAGGTGCTGAATTCAATGCATTCCTCCTCCCAACTAACTGATAAGTCCAGAACTAAGAGGCAGCAATGTGGACAAGCCAATGAGCAAACATAGGCTCTGAGACAGGAAACACAAGCTTCAGAAACACTTGCCTTCTCATTTATAAAATGTTGGGTTTTTTTTGGTTGGTTGTGGGGCTTGAACTCTGGGCTTGGGCATTGTCCCTGCACTCTTCAGCTCAAGGCGAGCGCTCTACCACTTGAGCCACAGTGCCACTTTCAGTTTTCTAGTGGTTTATTGGAGAT